ATACACCACAAGGCAAAAAAAAAGGTCAGAAATCCCTTAAAAGGTTTTATTTTACCAGTTGATCTTTCATACCACCTTGAAAAAGGCCATAACCCAACCGATAAACCCAATTATATAATTCCCAACTGGACATTTGTTCCATTTACACCTGCTGGTTATCCTACTATCAGATATCCTAATTCTAACTATGAAGATCAATATGATTTATTAAATAAAAATGTGTCTATATATGTTAATACAGTATTTAGACCCGGAGTATATCAAATGTTTCATATTAGCGACTACCTGCATTTTAGCAACCATGGTGTAAGATCAGATAATTCAGAAGTGCCAAATGTAGATCCAGGACATCCGAGTCCTTCTAAAATTGCTGGAGGATCACATTTTGCATCGCTTGAAACAACTCACGATGCTTTTCATATAATATTCGGTGGTCCTGGAGGTCATATGGCATATCTAGATATAGCTTCATTTGATCCAATGTTCTTTTTCCATCATGTAAATGTGGATCGTCTTTTTGCACTTTGGCAAGAAATGTTACTATTATTCTTTATTTAATAAGTTATTATTAAACAATAAAAAGATTAACTAATATTTTTTATTATAGATTTCCTGATGGTTGGATTCAACAAAATATTGATTTCAACGGAACTTTTACAGATGAAATGTACACAACAGTAGATGAAAATACAGATCTAACGCCATTTAGAAAGACAAAAACAGAATTCTGGAAATCTTCAGATGTTCGAGATATAGAAAGCCTTGGGTATACATACCCTCAAGTAGCAAAGTTTAAAGGTCAAGATCCTAAAATTTACAAGCTTATCTTCTTAAACTTTATAAACCTGATCCTTATTATAGACGCAGATTTTTCGTAAAAAACCGGGTAAATTAGTTGGACCATACGCTATTAGAGTATTTATTGATTTGAAAAATGCGACTGCTCAGACACCAGTAACTTCACCTAATTTTGCTGGTCTTGTTGCCATGTGGCAAAGTACTAGACATACACATGCTAATAATAATAATTATGTCGTGGGAACTTATCACGGCAACTATGGAACGCTTAGAAATTCGAAGGCAAATATACGAACCTGATGGTGTTAATGCTACGACAGGCTTAATTGATTCAAAAACGATTTTTGACATTAAAGCGGATATCAATCTAGTTCCTATTTTGTTAGATGGTAAAGGAATTAGTCCAAAAAAAGTTGGGGTTAATAAGATTGAAGTTTTTTCATTCGAACACGACAAAGTTGGTAAAAATTTCTTGGTCGAAAACACTGGTCAATATTATGGCTCTAAAGAATTTTAAATTTATTAAGGAAATCTAATATTTTATTGAACAGAACTATACTTGTGTATAAACAAATTTTGTCAATTTTTTTTTCCCATAATTCTTAATCTCGTTTCATTTCTGATCTATAGCATAGTAACATTTATTGGTTAATTTTTTTAAGTGGGGTCAAAAATTTTATTTTCGTAATATGTAACAAAATAATTTAACTAACAAATTAGTTCATAGATAGTTTATTTTATTACTAACTGTTATTTTATTGACAAAATAATTCTAGTTATTCCTTTTTACAATTTTTAACTATTTTAAAACCAAACTGACTTTTTTATCTTTGAACCAAATTAATTATTATCTGCTACTCTTTCTAAACCTTTTTTATTTAAATCTCTTAAAAAACTAGCCCATAAAGCAAAACAATAATTTATATTGCTTAATAATACTATAATGAATTCTAAATATGAAACTTCGTTCTTTTATATTTTTCTCAAAAATTTCTTAACTAAGCTAAAAAATACATTACAATATACTTTTTCTACTTTAACAAACCCCTATTATTTTGCTAATATTATAGCTTACTTTAACATTATACAATTCTCTACTCATTCAATTTCTTCTATTTACTCAATATTACTAATCTTATCTTCCTCAAGCTATACTACATTTTGAAAAAACTTCAAATTCCAACAATTAATACCAAGCTTTTTCTTCCAAACTTTCAAATACATGAAATTTCAAATTCAATTTTTTTTTTCTTAAATTCTTTTTTTTTTAAATAATATATTTTTAATTTTATTCTATTATTAACAAAAACAAATCAAAACATTACTTTTTTATTTCAACTATTTTACTTTAAACTTCTTAAAATTTTTAATAAATTTTTTTTTATTTACAAATATACTATTATTTCTCTTCAAACAAGCTACTTACAACTAAATACAAACAAATTATCTTACTCTATATACTCAACTACTTTAATTTACTCCTTTATGATTACTATTTTCAAGATCAACTATATAACCTTTTTTAAAATAATATTTTTGCAATAATTTTATTCTTCATAGTAATTTTTTTTTTGTTTATTCAAATAGTCATATACAATATTTTTTTAGAAATTCATTGTTGCATGACTTAACTTCTTTTCTTATGGCTCAATTTTTAAAACTCTAAGCCTTTTGTTTAAATCTTTTTTTTATTTCAAAGATTAAATATATAAATATTTCTATTAATACTATTTTTTTTGTTTTTTTTTCTTTTTTTCTAATATTTATTATTTATTTTATATTTCTATTATTTTATTTGCTGTTCTTCTTTAAAAAACTTATACTAGTAATCTTATATGAATACTTTTTTTTTTTGGTATTAAGGTGAGATCATGCTTATATCTTTATTTAATAATTTATATAAGTAATTATGTAAAGCTATATAAAAACTTAATTTGTATACTAACAAATAAATATAAATTACATACAAGAATAAAAGCTTAGACAAAATTATCTGTGACCTAAACCTATTAGAGTGGTCAAAACTTATCTAGATTTGAATAGATAGAATATAGTTAATAGATATGCTATGTTTAATCTACTTAGTAGACCAAATATCTATTTTTAAAGAAGCCTGTTCTAGGGGAGGATAGATATTAGTTTTAGAATATAAGTAGTTAGCAAAGCCACAAGAGTGACTGATTGTAAAAATAGTTCTGTTTCTTCTATAATTTTGGTATGAAGAGAAATGAAGTGGTGTATTAAATATAAAGCAAGTCAGAATATAGTGAGC